GACAAGGGCATGCCATACAGTTATATATAGAAAATGGGCAAGGCAATGATCCTGAGAATCTTTAGCAGATTTTTGAATCTAGCAGTTAATTGGAAAGATTCTCACCCTGACTAACTATATATACAGACACCTGTGAACTAAGCAACTGCACTGAAGATGGCAATTTGTAATGGTAGGTTCATGCTTGGAGTGCCTGTTATTGTGGTCTTCTGATTATGGGCTGCTTGTCATGACATGCCAGTTACTGCCATCCTGTCTCTAGGGTAGATGATTGTTCAAAAAGAAGGGGGTGGTGAATGAAGGCAGGAGACAGGAAAAGGAATGTTGTGGGACTATCCTGCTACAAGGTTGTATATGACTAGATCTCTGAACTTATGTGTAAACATAAGAATTATATAATTCTTTGTGCTTGTTTTTAAAATATATTCTAATTTTTTAAATGTTTTTTCACCCTATTCTGTAGGGACTTAAAGTTCAACATGTCAATACTTGATGAAAAATACCTGTTTCATGTTATGCCTGAGATGTTTGATATTCAGACAGATAGTGAGGTTAAGCTTAACAGCCTAGGTTGTATGGTAATACAATAAGCTTGTCTTCTGGAGGGTTAATCACCTATGTTTGCAGACCAAAATTAGAGAAAAAGGAGGGCCACAAGGAAAGCGAACATTTTGGCCCTAACCTTCCAAAGTCAATTAAGTCTCAGGACATATAAGAACTTGTACTGTAACATCATGTAACTCAGTAGTGTCCCAAATTTTCTGATCAAGGAGATTATGAGGCCAAAGAGGAATGTGATTGATGATGTAGAGTGTGCCTAAGGAGAGTCACATGGAGAGAAAACATTCTCTCAGGCTTTCACAGAGAACACATTGGCCAAACAATGGCCATGACTCATCCACATGGCTGACACTGATGAAGGATCTACAATCTGAGGTACAGGATCTCAGGATAAATCCTGAGGGGATTTCACTGACCTTATCAGACCCAAAAGCTTCAACTCTTGTTGCATAGTTCTTGCTTCATCTTGGTCTTGACCATCCAGCAGAAAAGTATAAAAATGAAGCATAAGAAGTAAAGCCACGCTGTTATGTTGAGCTGTAGGGGACTTAGGTCAACAATTTCTGACACTGTCAGTCAAGCAGAAGACCCAATACTATTATGGACTACTGGACTCTTTTAGAATATTTTGCAGATTTAACACACCTATAATCTTCAAATGATGGAACTAAACAAAAAAGGGGATACAGATGAATGTCCATTTTGTATCTGTGTAATCAAAATGGTTAGGATAGAAAAATAGTTACATTCTTTTAATGAATAGAGGGATTTTTTCTAATGATGTTTGTAAATATGGTATCACATCTGTATCTTGTACAGCAAATAACCGCTAGGAAGAGTGTATGCAGTGTGTTAATTATTGAAACTGTTCTACCAATTTGATTTGAAACTGTCTCATTACTATTTGTCTCTCACTAACATTATGAAAAAAAGTCAAAACAGTGTGGTACTGCTGAAAGAATAGCCAAATAGATCAATGGGACAGATTAGAAAGCCCAGAAATCGACCCATGTAAATGTAGCCAACAAATTTTTGACAAAGGAGCAATGTAGCAAAAATACAATCATTTCAAGAAATAATTCCAGAAAAAATTGGACATTCACACTCACAAACACACACACACAAGCACACAACCTAGACAAAAATCTTACAGCCTTTATGAAAACAAACGGATAATACTCAGAATATTGTCCAAACATGAAGTGCAGAACTATAAAACTTGTAGAAGGTAGCTGCTATAATTTTGGTCTGTATTGTCTCTGTGTTAGAGAATTTGTTTTCAGGATTTATCCTCACCTTCTGGAAGGCTGTAGATCTATTAGGAGAAGGGACCTTGTGCAAGGTCTTCAGGGAATTGGGGACACAACTTCAAAGTGGACTGGAGGCGTTAGCCCTTTTCTTTTGCTGCTGGTCATGAGGTAAGCAGTTTTACTCTCCCATGTATTCCCTGCCACTGCCATTCAAATGCTTAAATGCAATAGATTAGAGACTCTAAAATGAATTAACCTTTTCTACTTATAAGTTAATTACCTCAGCTATTTTGTAATTGTGACAGTAAACTGAGTATTACAACAACACAGAAAATCTGGATGCCTGTGAACACAACAATGATATTTTAAATACAACAAATGGTTTCTTCATGAAAGACATGGTATACTGAATTTCATTAAAAATAAATATATCTCTCCTGCAAAGGCACTATCAAAAAAATAAAAAGACACACTATTGATTGTGAGCAATACTTGCAAAACACACATTTTATTCAGGACTTGTATTCAAAACATGTAAAGAACAATTAAATCTCTACAATAAAAAAGTGAACAACCAATTCAAAAATGGGTAAAAGATAAAACTGACATTTCACCAGAAAAAATATCGAGGTGGAAATTAAGCAAATGAAAGGATATTCAACACGACATACTATTAGAAAATTACAAGTTAAAACAACATGAAAGAAATGGGCTGTAGATAAGTATTTTTACAAATAACGTAAAACTGTGAAAGTACACTATAGGTGACATAGGTCACACCCTATAGTTTTAACAATAGAATTTTATTGAATATTCCTATATAATGAAAAGTTTTCAAGTCCCAGTAGATGAATTAATAAGTTGAGGTAATAGCTAAAACAACAAAAACAGAGCATCTAATGTGGGCTGAACTTTGAATTTTGTTATAATCAGATTAAATTCTATTTACATATCATTTAATGTCCCTGCATATTTCAATAATGAAAGAGTTAAATACAATGGTATACCAGATTCATGAGGTAGAAGAAAAAATATGGGCTAAAGTTGAAAATATGTGTTATTTTCAACTTGTAAGAAATTGTTAGGTGAGGAAATCCTCACAGTTGATGGGATGAAAGAAATGTTATCCTTAAGCCATCATCTGTGTGAATCATCTGATAGTTGCTAATTATTTTGAACCCAGGAAGAACACCGAGGTATATCCACCGCCTGATTGCGTGCCTGCGTCCCTGCGTCCCTGCCTGCCTGCCTGCCTGCCTGCCTGCCTGCCTGCCTGCCTGCCTGCCTGCCTTCCTTCCTTCCTTCCTTCCTTCCTTCCTTCCTTCCTTCCTTCCTTCCTTCCT